TATGTTCTGGATGCCTCATTTGGTAACTTTTGGTTTAAACTTGGTACATGTTTGTTCTCGATGCCTCATTTGGTTGGCTAGATTCTTATGCATGTTACAGACTTGTACTTGACTTGTTGTGCCTCCTATGGTTTTATAGAATTTTTATAAGTTACAGATTTGATTTTGATGCCTCTAATAGTTTAATAGAAAAACATACTAGCTACAGGTTTGTCCTTGGTAACTACTAAAGTTTTCTAGTGATGTATACTTGTAAAGACTTATTATGTGATGTAAAGACTTATTAGTTATGCCTCAGAGGATTTTCTAGTGATTTATACCTGTTACAGATTTGTTCTTGATGTATCTCATGGCCTACTAGTTTTTTATATCTATTTCAGAATTGTTCTTGAAGCAACACATGGTTTTCTAGTGTTTGCACCTTTTACAGGTTTGTTTAAAAAGCCTCACATGGTTTACTAGTGATTTTTTCAAAACCAGTTACAGATTTAATCCTGATGCGTCACATAGTTTTCTATTGTTTTATACTTGTTCTAGACTTATTCGTGATGCCTCGGAGTGTTTCTTGTGTTTTATACCTGTTACAGATTTGTTTTTGATGTATAGCTCATGGCATACTAATTTTTTATGCCTATTACAGATTTTTTTTTTGAGGAACCACATTTTTTCCTGGTTTTTTTTTACCTTTCACAAATTAGTTAAAAAGCCTTACATGTATTGCTAGTGAATTTTTAAAAACCAGATACAGCTTTAATCTTGACGCGTCACATAGTTTTCTAGTATTTTATACTTGTTACAGACTTATTCTTCATACCTCGGAGGGTTTTTGTTATTGATTTATAGGTTGTTATTGATTGTTAAAGGTTGTCCTTGATGAATCCCATGGTTAATTTTTTTCAATACCTATCACAGATTTGTTTTTGTTGCCTCACAGAATTTAGTAGTACTTTATATCTGTTACATAAGAGTTTTTGATGCCTCACGTGTAGTACTAGTGTAGCATGCTTGTTATAGATTTGTTTTCGATACTTCACAGGGTTTTTGTATTGTTTCAAACCAATTACTTGTTTGTTTTTGATGCCCTTATGGATTGATAGTGTTGTGTACATTTTACATATTTGTTCTTAATGGATCACATGGTTTACTAGTGTTTTATACATGTAGCAGATATGTTCTGGATGCCTCACATGGTAACTATTGGTTTAAACTTGGTACATGTTTGTTCTCGATGCCTCATTTGGTTGGCTAGATTCTTATGCATGTTCCAGACTTAATTTTGACTTGTGCCTCCTATGGTTATATAGAGTTTTTATAAGTTACAGATTTGATTTTGATGCCTCTTTGGTTTACTAGAAAAACATACTAGCTACATGTTTGTCCTTGGTATCTACTAAAGTTTTTTAGTGATGTATACTTGTTAAAGACTTATTCGTGATGCCTCGGAGTGTTTTCTAGTGATTTATACCTCATACAGATTTGTTCTTGATGTATCTCATGGAATACTATTTTTTTTATATCTAATACGGATTTGCTCATGAAGCACCACATGGTTTGCAAGGGTTCTTGCCACTTAAAGATTTGTTAAAAAAGCCTCACAAAGTTTTTTCTTGATTTTTCAAAAACCATATACAAATTTAACTTCGATGCGTCACATAGTTTTCCGGTGTTTTATATCTGTTGAACCGGAAGTTTTCAGCACTTTGGAAAACAACCTTTCCCCAAAAATGGGTTATGGATGAAACGTGATGGGCAGTTCCTTCATGGGATGTTTATCCCAAAAATGAGAGATTGACTCCGGGTGACCTTAGGTTGACCTTTGGGTGTTATGATCCCAAAATGCATGGAAACCTTTAGAATTAACACCTAAAGGGAACTTAGTCTTGAAAGTTTTTAGTGGGATCAAATGGGGTTGCTTAGGATGAACAGGAGTGGGAGGCATTGAAAAAATTGGGGCCTAATATTTATCTTGTTCTTTGCTTATAGTTTTGAAATAGTAAAAATAAATCAAATGGAGCTTTTAAACATTCGATTGAGGTGATTATGATAGTTAAGAGTTTTAACAGGAATTCAACTAGAGCAAACGCAATATGCAGTGAAAGGAGTGAGGCATGGGAAGTAAGTCTCAAAAATGATGTGATTGAACGGGAAAATCACTGGGATCCCGGAGGTGACCTTCTGGCTCAACTTAACCCTTAAAAGATTAAAAAAGTCCCCGCGATGTGTTAACCCCCTTAACGTTCCCTAGAAAGTCGGGGCTAGAATAGAGTATAGATTGAAATTTGAGATTCTCGAAACGACTTAGTCACCCACGAATAAGGTCTAATATGCGTGACAAAATTGATCAAAGAAACCAAACTTGGCATTCGCCAGTAATGAAATGGGAGAGACGGCGTGAAAAAAAAACAGGTGCTGAGGAGTGAACTAAGTGGATGCCAGATCTGACAGAAAAGGCCTGAATAAACTAAAACTAAGTATAAAGAAAGATAAGAAACTAGAGGGTACTGGAGAGCCGAGTAGTTAGTTCGTAGAGTAAAAGAACAATTTTTAGCGAGTGGCTTGTCAGTTCTCAGTATATTAGATAAACTGATTGAGATTCAGCGATATGATATCGAGGATAAAAACTTAGAAAAAAAACAGTAAAAAAAAACGATTGAGTCAATTTTGCAATCAATTTTGAAACGATGCAAATTTGCAATCTTTGATCTTTTCTTTCAATTAAATTGATAAAATGCAATGTTTGTATTTGTATATTTTCTGAATTTAACTACATTTTCCAAAACTAAATTTTTTCACTTTTAAAATCCATCAACTATATCGAAACAGCGGTCAAAATTTATTCATTGTTGCATTTGTTGTATTAATCATAAGCATAGCGAAAAATAAGCATCTATTTATAAAATTTAATTAATTTCCACATGATACAAAAACTATCACGTCTTAAAACCCATTTACATCCATTCAACCAAAGAAAGGTGCCGTTACACACAATAGACCAAACTTAAGAACAGTTTTAAAAAAAGGGAAAAATAACATTTGAAAACGGTGAAAATTAATTATTTAGCTCAATTGTTTTCAGTAGAAAAAATGGAACAATTAATTGGAGTTAGATTTAAAACATTCATACCATGAGATTTTTCAAAAATTAAAGTCAAATGCTTTAGATCGGCAAACTCATAGCGTTGCTTTCTAATTGTCTTAAAAAAGTTTTGAAAGGTTGGTCCTCTAACCTCACTTTGCAAAACGCATTCAATAAATGAAATTGCGCGACAATACAATTAAAAAAAAGCTATTTCAAAATAGTGGGGACAAAATTACAGTCTTGTCTTTAATCCGGATTTAGCGGTCTCGGTCGAAACTTTTTAAATTTGGTTTGCACGTGTAATCTATCTAAATTAGTTGAAAATCGACGTCTTTACCAATTGTTTGAATTTTTATTCAATTTTAAGCCAGTTCATAGCAAAATGTTAGCTTGTTTTAGAATGTTCTTAGCAATTTGGTGAACAATTTAAACGCTAAACAAACATAAATATTTGAGTCAGTTCGACAAAAATTTATCAGTGATCTTACTATTCTCATCTTAACACGCAAACTTTTTGTTTCCTACCTTGAAACAAAACAAACTCTATCTTAAAACATTGGAGACCCTGATACATGAAACTTCCCTATTTTAAAGCATGGATTTAATTCCTTATCGTAAAACATGGGAAAATTGCGCGCCAAAATTTTAAAAGATGGTAAAACCTGGAAACAGGATAGGACTTATCTCAATATCTAGGAAAACCTATATCATATTTTAATACAAGACGAAATCTATTCTTTATCTCAAAACATAAATATCATATCCTAATACATAGCCTGGCGCATAAAAAAATTTGTCGCTCTCTTTTTCAGATAAGGCATGTAGCATCAATATAAAATCTTGAAATACGGAGTAAATATTTGAGTCGTTTATGGAACTAATAAGACCAATTAGCTCGCGTCAATTCAATTTGGAACGTTTATGAATGCTGACAATTCGCCACGCTTAAATATTTCGCGTATTGAAACAAACTTTCAAAGTAATACTCCAACAGCAAAACAGCACTTTATTCTAGTGCAAGCATACTCGCTTGGCAATCTGAAAAGCCCATATGCAGTCAACTTTTCTAAAGTTGGTCTTAATAAGAAAACCAACGAAATAAAGTCGGAACAACAAAACTGCTCGTATCAATGCAAGTTTCGATTGCATATTAAGCTGCCCATTATTTGATAATATAAAATTTTAAATGGTAAACTTTGAGTTGTGCATTGAATTAATGAAAACAATTAGCTACAATTAGAAAAGAACATGAATATTTGAAAAATCATGACTTGAGAGACAAATTCTTTTAAAAATTGGTCTGAATAAAAAGTCACCACGAGCATCTATATCTAAATTCCTTATGGTCTTCAAAAGTCGGAGAGGTGTATCACGTTAAAAATTCTCCGCTTCTTACACACAAATGTTTCTAGTGGGTTTTTGAAAAAAAAATTGAAATTTTTGTTAAAAAAATATTTTTGTCGTCTTTTTTTTAAGGTCGACCGATTTGATTTTCCGAGCTCTCCGAAAATATTTCACGACCCTATTTTGTCAAAAATTTTCTTTGCCGCAAGCAAACTATCAAAAAATTGACGTTTTGAGCCCTTTTAAAAATTGTTTGTCCAAAAATTTGCGCTTTTTCGGCGCGGGCTCCACCTCAATATTAGCTTTATTGGCGCCGAAGACGACTTCAGAATATTTTTAATGTTAGCCAGCCAAAAATTGATTTCGTGAATTTACACCAAAAGGGGACGTTTTGGAAAATTTGGCAACCAGATATGAGCGGGCGGCGGCGGGGGCAGTCGCCCCCTTTCTCTCGGTACGCTTGTATACAGTTTCGTTGCTGTCAAAAGGCTTCTAAATCACTGATTTCAAGTTTCTTTTGCAATAACTATTGTTAATTATGAAAATGTAATCAGCATGTTTTGGCATTTGTTATTTTTTATTTTTTCGTCTCAGACTCTGCTCGGTCTTGCTCGATTTTGCTCTCAGCTCCTCCCCCGCTTGCTCCTCCGCCCTCTGGGCGTCCTTCGGTCCCCTGCTCCCCACCCGGGGCTGACTTGCCCTCTCCTTCCTCCTCCTCCTTGATGCCCCCTCTCCCTCCCCCTGCCTCGTCTCCGTCCTCCGTCTCCCAATCGGGCACCTCTTGGCTCATGTTGGTAGTGCCGCCATACCTGATAAATAACTGAACGTGGCTCCTTTCTCCCCTCCCCCCATGCCAATTTTCGGCTCTTTTCCAGTTCCTCCCTTTCGAAATACCGAGTTTTATGTATGTTTTACGTGTTATTACGGCTAAATACGCGATGTTACGCTGTAACGTATGAAGAACAAATCTTTTCAGAATTGTCGATTTGTTCACCACGCCAAATTTCATTGCATTATGACAACCTTAAATAGATTTTTCTAAATTGAATTTGAAAGGGGAGGGGAAACTGAAAAAGAGCCCAATTTTTGTAACAATCGAACAATGTGAACAAAAATTGAAGGTGGGGGGCAGATCTAGGATTTTCTCGAGGGGGCGGAGCGGATTTTCAAACAAAAAACTGAAAGTTTTGTTGGCCTTTTTTAGGTCGAACAAATTCATTTTCATCCATTTTTGGCTGGCCAACCTCAAAATTTTTTAAAGGCTCCTTTGGTGCCAAAAAACTGAACTTGAGAGAGGAGCGTGCCCCGAAAAAACGCAAATTTTTGGTCGACGGTTTTTAAAAAGTGCTCAAAACGTGCTCAAATTTTTTTTAGCCGTTTCTTTTTTAAAAAATTTGCCGGCGGCGCAGAAAATTTTTGATTTATTAGGGCCCTTTAAATATTTTCGGAGAGAAACCGCAGAACCCCCGCCCCCCTTAGAAAAAATTCTACGCACGCCACTGCTGAGAGTTAAAATGTTCTGTACTTAAAAAGCTGCAGGTACCTGATTGATAATCTTCGAAAATCCGAATTGCAATGCATCAAACAGGAATTCTTCACTAATCTGCGGAATCCGTGCTAATTTTTTTGCAGCAGTTTCTCACCAATTAATTCAAATGTATTTAAAACAGTTTGGAAGGGGAAATTTTGAAGAATTGGCGAACCGGAAAGTGCATGGAAAGAGAGAAGGGCAAATCTGGGTCTATGAAAAAAGGGCTGGCGGATTTTGGGGACTTCCTTCAAATATAAGCAAGGAAACTCCTGGAGCAACTTGACAAGGGGTGGCTCTTTTTGAAAAAAGCAAGCAGATTTGGGGGCTCTGGGGGTGGCGGGGGGGGGGGGGGGGTACGGGGCTTTGCGTTTTGGTGTGTTTAGGGTTGAGTAAAAATACAGCATTCCTGGTAGACTGTATCTCGGTCTGTTCTTCGATGGCCAGTGTGTTGTTGTTGTTTCTGTTCTTGTCTGGATTGAATCTTGGCTCCTCCACAATTGTGTGTGAGATCCTCCGAGGCGCCTTCACTCGCGACGACACAGAAGTCACCGATGACCTACACATTATGTCTGCATGTATTTCATAAGCTAAGTGCAATTGAAGAGTAATAAGCTAAGAATGTCCCGACCATAAACTAAAAAAAAGTGTTGTTATTTTCTGCGTGGTGTCTTAAAAGGATCTGAACGAAAAACAGAAACTTAAGAACAATTATTTTATTTTCAAGCCAGAAACTTATAACCAAACATTGTATGAAATACGTTTTAGTTCGGCTTGGGAGAACATTAGAAAAAGACATCATAGCCTGTCGGGTGGTATCTCCATGAAAAATTGAAACATAAATGGAAACATTCACAAAAGCAGTCATTCAAAAAACTCAACGACTATCTAACATTGTAACTTCTCATTTAGATTCTTTAATTATCATGAATGTTTTATTTAGATGTTCAATTTTGGAGGGTTTCAACCAGTACTTCTTGGTTTTTGGATGCTTTTGTTTGCATTATTCTTCAGCCCGGGGTGTTTGGATTTTCTAAACTAAGAAACGAATAAACTCGTACATCCACATACAAATCAAATCATGAATAAAAACGATGACTTTTTATTGGATCATTAAAAAACTTTAACTTGCTCGTTAGCTCCTCGACAGAACTTCGATTTTTCAAATTATCATTTTTAAGTGAAAGCGAAGTGAGTTTTGTTTGCATTTAGGTGAATCGTATTAAGTTGAAGGATTTTTTGATAGCTCAAGGTTTTGGCAAAGGCCGTTTTCCTCTACGGAGCTGAGAATATCCGGTTTGAATCTTTTTTTTTTCGGAGCTACCCAACAAGCTCCCATTCAAAGTTAGTCAAATTTTCGACCAATCATAATGCAGCAAAATTAGAATTCTCACTAGAAAACTAAAGTGCTAATTTACGGTTTCTTCTTACAGAGGTGGAGACTCTTTAGTAGGTACCATAGGGGGGATTGTTACGAAGATCCTTTGGACCAATCTATCTGGGAGGGGAGGGGGTGTTGTTAACTTGATTTGATCCTTCTATCACCTCCTGCGTGCTTTGGCTTTCTCTTCATTCTTAATCGTATTGATGAGTAGTTCAATGTGGTTCATGTCTGTATGTGTGAGATCCATGTCTCTCTGCAACTCCTCCAACGCCTTGTCATCCAACTGGAACAGACTCCTCCCGTGGTGTATCATCTCAGCGTACATTCTGTGTGTCTTCTCACTCGATCGGTCTATGTCCTCATGGTACCTAAGTTCACATCATTTTTAACTATTATAATCAATTATTTAAAACTCAAGCCTGAAACTTATAACCAGACATTCTAGATAACCAGAAGTTGTATGGTACATTTTAATTGGGCTTGGAAGTATACCAAAAAGGCATCAGTCTGTCGGGTGGCATCTCCAAATCTCTTCTACTTTTTAATTTTTTTAAATTTATTTTATATATTTTCTTAAAATTTCATCAACTTCACTTTTAACGAATCGAGTAAACCTAATTCCCTCCGCTCATAGTGGTAGAACAGGAGTGTTGACTTCTTTCTTAATTGGAATTTTGAGCCAATCAGAATCGTGGCATTTGTTGCACGCAGTGATAAATAATTTTCATTCAAATTAAATAACTAAGTTTCTCAACTTCTTCCATTTCAGGGAAGAATGGGCTCAGCTAAAACTGGGGGTATCTGTTTGATATTTTTTGAATTTGTTCCACTGATGTGAGATGAAATAGACAATTTCTTAATATCAAAAGTTTGGCCCCACCCAGTTGCTTCTTCAATTAAATATCTTCAACTTGGAATTTTCCCAAAGATTTAAAATATTTAAAACAAAAATTGAGGCGTGACGGTTTTTTCACGGAGGTTTCCCACAACCTGTTGCCTCGATTAAACCCAAGATATCAGGTTCAGCTGAGTAGTTTTCGAGAAGAGCCAACAAAAAACGACACGAAATCAAAATAGTGGCTTTTCTGAGGGCCATATTTTTTGTTAGGAAATTTGGAGATCACCGTTCATACAAGAGAGCTTTGCTTAACTCTTCCTTTGATTGATCCCAAAATCTGAGATTTGCTGTGGTACTTTTCAAGACATGTCAAAAAGTTTCAACAAACGGTCAAAAATTATGTTTCAAAAAACGGTCAAACAAACAAATATTTGATTTTTCCGAGGTCCAATTTTTCAGCAGGAGTTTATCTTAAAACTCATTTTCTCCTTTAAGCCCAAAACCTCAGATTTGGGATGATAGTTTTCGAGAAAAGTCAAAAAGTTTGAACACCAAAAAAAAAAGATCAAATACTTCACTTTTCTGAGAAGCCTAGCAATTTTTGGAAAAAAATCGGAAAAACCGCTTTTCAGGGAAATTCACTTAATGAAATTTTTTATTGAATTTAAAATCTCAGATCTGCGAACATAGTTTTTGAGAAAAGTCAACATTCCAAAAAACGGTCAAAAAATCAGAAATATGATTTTTCCCAGGACGATATATTTTGTGTAAAAAAGTTTGGGATTAGCCGATATTACCGGGGATTTTCTTACAACTCGTTCTCTACATTAATCCAAATTCTCAGACTTGACAGGATAATTTCTGAGAAAAGTTAAGAAAGTTCCAAAAACGATCAAAAAATCAAACTTATGACTTTTCCGAGGACCCTAACATTTTGTGGAGAAAAAATTTAGGCAAAGTATTCAAAAGGGAAAAAATTATGCAAGGGAACTTCTCACAACTCGTCATTTGTTGAATTGAAATCAAAATATTAGATTTGAGATGGTAGTTTTTGAGAAAAGTTGAAAAATTTCAGAACTTTCAAAAAGTCAACATTGATTTTTTCTCGGATCCTAACATTTCGCGAGAAATCTTTTTTTCAATTGAAACCAAATTCTCAGATTTCGGAGGGCAGTTTTTGACAAAAATTTGAAAAGATGATAAGTGACTTTTTCAAGGACGATAAGTGTTTGAACAGAAAAAACTGGGTCCCAGCAGCTAGAACAAAAGAACTTCCCCTAACCTGTTCTCTCCATTAAACACAACATCTCAGATTTGCTAAGCTAGTTTTTGAGAAAAATCAAAATGTTAGAAAAAACAATCGAAAAGACAAAAGTTTGAGTTTTCCAAGAGTCATAATTTTTCGTGCCAAAAGTTGCAGTTTTAGCCGCTAACTCATAGGAGTTTCCTAGAACTTGTTCTCTCCATTGAACCCAAAAAGTTAAATTTGGAAAGATTATTTCGAGAAAAGTCAAAAAATTTGAAAAAACGGTCAAAAAATCAAAACACTGACTTTTCCGAGGGTCATTATTTTTTGTGTAAAAATTGAAAGCAGTCGCTTATTCCGGGGAGCTTCGTATATCCCGTACTTTCAATTGTGATTAAAATCTCAGATTTTGGACAAGTACAGAGGAATTTCTACCCAAGACGTTCTACCCGTGCAATCCAAAATATCAGACTTAGTTAGAAAGCTTTCAAGAAATTGAAAAAATTCAAAAACAGCTGTCAAAAATCCCCCCTACTATTTTTAAGGCTGTAGAAAGTGGGGTAAGGTAAAAAGAGACTAAGGGATTATGCAGGCACACAAGGGACTGGGCGGACTTTCCATTGCTACTACTTTTTTGAAATTCGGTTGTGCTCAGTTTGAGATAAACTAAATTTTTTGAGAAAAACAAAAAAATTTTCCAAAGCGCCTCAAAAAATCATAATAGATAAAAAAACAAGATGCCATACATTTTATAAGACCTGTTTTTATCACACAAGAATTGTCTCATACCTTTTCGTGATTTCGTCGATTCTAGGGTTCCTTTGCTTTATATGAACAAACTCGCGTTTCGAAGGACTGCTGGCCTCGTCTCGTTTCGAATTGTCAGATCCGGACGCCTCCTCGGCCTGTCGCTTCTTTTCCAACTTTGCCTCTCGTTTCTTGGAATCGACCAGCTTTTCTCTTTTCAATTCCCTCTCAATCATGTTATGAAATGCCGCTCTTTCGACGCGTTTTTCGGAATGCATGCTGGCCGGTAGTAAAATTTCTCGAACCGTGCCGCTTGTATCGCCTATGAAGCATCTTTGACCATTGTCTACCATTTTCATACAGGACAACGTTTCATTGGAAACATCAAACTTCAAAACCGGATGTTTATGGTTCAGAGTCAAGTCATAGCAATTGAGGTTGCCGTTTTCGTCAATAGTGAAAAAGGAGTTCATTTTGGTAGGAGACCAGCAGCCTCCGGTCAAGTTTGATTCTCCCAGACTTAGTTCCATTAGACAACCCTCGCGTAAGTCTTCGTGCCAGATACGAGGCGTCCAATCGCCCACCCCAAGAAAGACTTTGCTGTTAGCCTACAAGGTATTTTCTACTTGAACACTTTTTCGCAAAAGCCATTAACTAATTAATGTTGAAACAGATAACTATATCAAGAAAATACCTGTTTTTCTTCACAAAAACAGTAAAAAAAGCTTAAAAAGGCTACAGTTTTCAAGTTACTAGCTGGGTGAATTTTCAATAATGGGAAATTTTCTGGAAACTTCAAAAGAATGATTTTCAGTGAAAAATTACGCTAAAAATTTTTTTCCTTTTCAGATAGACGACTTAAAGACCGCTAAATTAATAAAATATTAACATAATGACTACAGATATTTAACCTTATTTGGTTTAGAGTAATGTCAACTAGAAAACACCCCTTGTTTCTCTCGACACTATACACAGGTCCCAGTCCCCCCTGAAGGCAAAATTGGTGAGCTTCTTGGGGGGTCCTCGCCTTCCGACTGAACTGCATGATCTTGCCACAGTAAGTTCCGACCATGTATTTTATCGGAATTGTACTGTCGTATTCCAGACATGAAACTACAAGTGCTTTTTCTGGTTCGTTTTTCTTGTTCGGATCACAGTAGAAAAAGTCGGTCGGGTTCGCCATGTTTCGGATATCCCACCACATTACGCAACCATCTTCGCCAGCCGAGAAAAACTCCGAGTTGCTTTTACTGCCAATCCATATAGCCTGAGTTACGTAATCTTTGTGACTCACCGATAACTCTGACGTAATAACAGTCTCGCCGTTTCCTTTCCGAATGTCAAAACAGCCGACTGTTCCGTTTTTAAACCCAGCGCAGATTAATGACGTTTCTCGCATGTGAAAATCAACACTCACAGCTGGTGAAATGCACCTGAGAGTTTGTTCAGGCGTGTTTGATGAAGTAATGTTCCAAATATGGCTCTCGGTTGTTTTGATTGGCTGTTGAAAATTGTATGGACCGTATGCGACTGCAAATCTTTCCTGCATGGGTCCTTTTTGCACGGCAATGGACAGCGCGGGCCTTGAAAACAGGAGGAAATACACTAGCGGCGCAGCTTAAACTGGAGAAAATGTACTGATGCAAGTTTAAATGCGTAACTTCCAAAATTTCAACTAAGAACCCGGGTTGACCAAAACTTCTAATCATACAACTTTCATATATGAGAAACTTTTTGTCATACAATTTCATACAATTCCATACGTACAAAAATTGTATGAAATCTTTATGATAAGCATTTTTCCATATATGAAAATTGTATGATAGGTGTTTTTCCATAAACCAAAAAACCGACTTTTTGTTTCTAAATTTAATTTCTGAAAAACTTTGGGTTGCGGTTGTAACCGAACACAATGACAAAGACCTTGGTTTACTCAAAGCACCAAAGGTTGGAAGGTCTTGCATTTACAATGCTTAACTGTCTTAAAGTTGTCTTTCACAAATGATATAAAAAAAGTAACAAACTTTGAAAATTTGGAAAAAAATTTTTTCAAAGATGATTATTCCGCTTTTTCGAA